CCACCCTGCATACTTTCCAATGATCTTTTCATTAATTGATGAGGATTACACATTCATCGCCACTCATATGTCACTGCGTTTCAATTGCAGTCGTGACCAAAGCCGCGGGATGTATCATCATTGACACATCCTCCTTTAATAGACATAACCTGCATCCTCCTTTCTATTTCCCGCGCTTCACATCCACAAATCATTCATTGGCCTTCTTCGTGCGTATATCCGGGTGGCCGTTCCGCCGCCTACGGCGGGCGGCCACCTTACCCTAGTTGCCTTAATCGCAAAGTAATCGAGCTGTGGAATACGGCCCAGGCGGTGTGATACCACGGAGAGTAGTCGAGGCCGGCTCTGCTGTCCGACCAAATGAAAATACTTTACCGCTCGGTCGTATCAGTACGGCTACCTTGTGCGGATGTCCGAGCAGCAGCTGCTCACACAATGAATTACCCCGCCTGACAGAACCCCTCCGAGAACTTTCTCCTCGACGCTGATACAGTCACATTTACGTTTGGATACCTTGAAGATCTTCTGCGTCATCAACCGAGCAGAAGCTGCTCACACAATTTATTGACCCCCATGGACAACGCTCTCCTCACCGCTAAGACAGCCGAATCTGTACGTTGACTACATCGAACTGGAGGCAATTTGGGGTGTCATCTTGGTGTTGTCAACCGACGTGCATGGGAGGCTCTCGTGTCACGCCGATTGGTGGCGAATTCCAAGCACTCCAGCTGGCAGCATCCGATTCCATGTTTCGTACATACTTCCAGCTTCTCTCGTTGATACGTTTCGCTCCAAGGTACTACTTGACACTCCTTACTAAATAAACCACGTTAGTGCAGAAAATGCCGCTCCCCCTCAGAATAATCAAACCTATAAGTTGCGGCGATAGGCACTACATGTAGCACTCCATGTTGGTAAACTGGTGGCTTCTGGCGAAGAGATTTTGCATTAATGAGACCTTGGTCCACAAGAGAGGTCGGTTGGTAAAGTGAGCGTGGTGGTGAGCACAGCACCACCAGCCATGCCGCCCCATCAACGCATAACTGCAGAACATAAATAAATTCGGAAAACGGACCAGCGCAATTCTCCCTTTGTACCACAACTCCTCTGGCTAATGCACTGTATATCCGCAAAGAATACGCTCGGCGCAATGCACCGTCCACGAACAACATGCTTAGTCTACAGAACGTTCCTCGCATAATGTGTGGCTACAGCGATGTGTAGAACCGGCAGTCCCCCACTCAACCATCCAATTTCAACGCTACTCTGTCGACACAGCCGCCATCACCAACACTCGTTGTACGCGAACAAGACCTGCACAGCAAGAGGGATATCCACTCCATCTATGCTCGTGCCTTCCAACAGGGTCAGATGACGAAGGCCCTTCGGCCATTCGATTTCGCGGAGAAAGTTACTGTCACCTAAACCAGAACCATGGTAATGAAGGAGATGAAGTACTTCAAGATTGGGCATCCAAGTGCCCAGTCCTTGCAGTGACTGCCTGAACATGTGGCCTAGTACAAGTCGCCGAAGCAAGGCAGGCCCGACACTGCTACCGATGGGTTGATCAAAGTTCGCGAATATCACCATCCCATTGCCGGCAAATTCATCGCACCATCCAAACGTCAGTTCTTGCAACGACGCCGGCCACCTCACGTTGTCTACTGGTTGATTGAAATCAACTCCGACAACGAGCGTCTGAAGCGAATCTGGCCACACAGTGCCCTCAATAGGATGGTTTAATCTGTTCCCAAACGTCAGCTGCTGCAGCGATGCCGGCCACACTACATCTTCGCTCGGCTGGTTGAAGTCTCCCCCCAACTCAAGCAGCTGCAGTGAAGCCGGCAGAACCACTTCGGCAATGGGTTGGTCAAAACGCGAACTTGACGTGCGGAATATGAGCTGCTGCAGCGATGCCGGAAACTTGACACGTTCGATCGGTTGGTTGAAATCTCCTCCGAAAGTGACATTCTGCAGAAATGGCGGCCATTGTACAAGTTCGATAGTTTGGTCAAACGGTGAATCATGGTGAAACTCCATCGTTCTCAGGTGTTCCGGCCATGGCACAGCCTCGAGACTGTCTCCGAAGGCATCGCCGAACTCCAGGTACTCCATGTCGGTCATTGCAAATATAGGGGTTCTCAATTTCGCTGCTGTCGGCATGTTCCATGTCACTCGGCGACTTCTAAGCCGTGGCACGCGCGTCCAACATAACCGTTTGGGGTGCGGTGGAGGAGCATCCGCACTGGCCAGCAGCCTGCGTGGAATTTGTTCGTCGACATTCAAGTGCACAGTCTGGCAGTTCCTGCACGCGATGCAGAAATCCAAGGACGCCAGCTGCAGCTCCTTCGTCGACGTGTACCAACTCTTCCCGTCGCACGTCTCGTTCAGAGCAACGATGAGGGCTTCCAAGCAGAATTTACGAGTAGGTCCTGCGGATCAACACGCAGTGCATGAGCGTACATGTAAGCTAGGACACACCGACGGCGTATTTGGAAAGTATCCTAGTCCGTGGCGGTAGAGTCTGCAAATCGTCGACAACACAACAATGTCAAGACCATCCCGGAAATTTCGAACACGCTACACACTAAAACGAGTTATCTTGCAGGGCCGACAAAGGCATCAATGCTTGGCCTATTCCGTTCTCTTCATATATGTACCAAGACTACCGAACCTTTCTCTCGAACGATTCAAACAGACAATACTGTTGCCAGTGGTGTCATGATCGATCAAGAAACGCACGGTGTGAAATAATAACATGGCAACGTAACCTGTTAGATTCGAACAAAACCTCGAGGATTCGGACTGGTTCGGACTAGTGTGGGGATGCTGCAGCGAACTACCCAACTCTTAGGGGACAGCACGTTGAGATAACACTGAACGGAGTATGGTACGATCACCGCGTGAAGACAACAACTTATGCTGCTCAACAATAGTGGGAAGACATTGTGCAAACATCAGCAGCCGTCCTCGTGGATTGCAATCAACTACCGCTACTACAGTACGTCCAGCGACAGGTACACGCGAGGGGATAAAAGTTTCTTGAAGGAACGTCAGACCGTTGGAAAGAACCGTCAGACTGTCGAAGCCAGATCATGTAAACGAGTGGTTACACCGGGTGGAATCTTAGGGCCAAACCTTGATCCTCGCAAACATGGGCCAAGGGACCAAGCTATTGCGCTCTCCAACAAATTCAGCACTGGGCGTGCACTTCGCGACATCCCGTGGCGCTTCACCCGTCATTACAGAACACAAACAACCTCGCGCGTGTGCCAGAGAGGGTATATGTGCGAGACGGAATCGCGAGACTGGGAGAACGGCTTGCAATAAAGAGTGCCGTAGCGCGACTGTCGCTCGCCACGGTCGTCTAGTTGGTATCCTCAAACTCCTCTAGTGGCCCGGGTCAGGAGTTAGAATCGGGGCGTAAGCCAGCTTGTCTAAAAAAGTGAGTCTTTCTCTCGCTTCCGTACCTGGCCTGGGTGGAAAGCGCTAGTTCGTGTGTACACAGAGAGAAGAGAGTGTTGCACTCTTCTCGCATTAATAATCAAAGTCGAAGCACCGCGGGAGGGGTGGGTAGGGGGCCTAAGGAAGAGGAACCCTTCTGTGTGACCACGGCTAGGAGTAAACGGCGCAAGTGCTATGAGCGGTGACTTGAAGAAAAGACAAAACAGAAAAGGCGCCCAAACATGTTGCCCGATGGCAGAGTACGTTACAACAGGCTTCGTACGCTGTCAAAGAGGACCGTCAGAACACGCCATACCTGCAGATTAGGGTGAACACTAGAAGGGTGTACGAAAAATCGACAGGCGAAGGTGACCCCGAGGCCCCGCGCTCATTGGCCGAGACCACCGAGTGTCGTCATGTGGTGGCTCAAAAGGAATTCACAACCTAGTCGCTCTAGCCCGTGTCGACCGTGTTCAATGACGCTGGCACTAGTGCAAACGATGGCCGGGAGGGCTCCAAGTAATTCAAGCAAACTGTTTGCTTCCGCCCCTCACACATCGTTCGGTTGTGATCGTCCGACATATACAATGTGGCTGCGTACTACCGGGCCGTTTTGCGTCCCGTCGGTTCACCGCGGTTTGTGTGTGTGTGTGGTGTGTGTGCATGGATGTTCGCGTGACGAGAGACAGCACAAGAGAGCATCAAAACCGTGTGGTTCGATGCGGCCTGCACAATAACAATGTTGGCGTTTGGATGGCCCCACCAGCATTCTACAGTGGCCTTCGCTTCGATGACCCGCATTCGGGAGACAGGTGTGAGAGCTGAGCTTCGTAGCGCTTCGCGGACAATGCAAGCATTCCTCAATGCGTCCCGCATTAAGTTATGGATCTGAGCCAATCCAAAACCTGAGCACAGCCAACGTAAAACCAAGATTAGGACGTGCTTTTGGTCTTGCTCGGGCCTTGAAGGTAAAACTTCGCTCGGATCGTCGCATACAGTACTCCCTGATGTTTGCCCCACATTTGTAGAAGAGGGCAGTCGGACACATCTAGTGGGACAAATTTTGGTTGGCGGTGAGATTGCTCTGCGGCGAATAGGGTTCGGTCAACATTATCGCATATTCACTCCTTACCCAGAACAATAGATTCCCCCTTGAGCGGGGGGGAATAAATATTGAGACACTATTTCCCCCCTTGCAAAAATATCGCGACAATAGTTTTCCACATAGCGGGGGGTAAAAACATGTTGAGATAGGTCGCAATGTTAATCAAATGTGAGACGACACGTTAAGTATCAACTCACAAGAAGAAATATATATTCTAATGACAGGCGGTGTCGATGCGTGCTTCGCCCAGACCTCTGTGCGGCTCCCTGGTAGGTAAGCCGGGGCTAGCACGAAATCCTTGCCAACAGCCAATAGAAGTCCTGTGGGGTCTCCTCAACTCGGTGACAGCAAAGGAAAATTCAAGAACTCTCAAAACCATCAAGGAACGCATCAAGTGTAGTCGGGGGCGATTGAGGAGGACAAGAAGCGTGAGCGGAAGACGCAATCTCCTTCTCCATCAATAAGAAGCAATTCCTAGGAATGGACAAAGCCCGCTCCGGCTTTGAACCGGACCAAAGCAGCACCAGCTCGGCTAGCTTGGTCGCGTCGCCACTCACAACGGCCGAACCCCATTCATCTGCGGAATCGTCGATTTGCCGGAGATGTAAAAGATTATCGCTGGTTTCAGATCGGTCGCACCCAGGAACCAAGGCTGGCCGGACATGAACCCTTCTCACCATTTCCTGAGTACGGAGATCTCGCTCAGATGCATTATATACATACCTGTACCCTCAGTATGGTACTTGGTCGCATTAGGACTCCACCGTTCCGACGATTCTTCCGAGCGTCAGAACCAGATACTGAATTGCGTATTCCTGAGTTGCATGTCGTGTTCAATTGCCCGTTTCGAGTCAGTCATCAAGGCACTTCTCGCTCGTGTCAGAAGTAGAAAACATTCCAAGCATCTGTTGGTTTCCATGCCATCCTCTCTTGCCCCGAGATATTCGTTGCAGAAGGATGTTCACATGGCCCTTGATCGAGTATGATGGGCATGACATAGCCTCCCATGCAAAATCATAGTTCCTCGTAATAGAGCTGTCAGCCATGGAGCACCACCAAAGACAGCATCACCAAGCGCGTACCACTACACATGCGTCTAGACGAAAGGCGTCGCGGCACAATATGACCCACCCTGAAACTGTGTGCCTGCAAGCCGGCACTGCTCATCACATCAGCAGCGCACAAACGGTCAAACGGAGGAATAGAGCATGGAAATTCACACGGTGTTTGTGAGCCTTGAATCCTATTGGTCAGAGCGACGTAAAGCCGGAAACACGATCTCTGCACCAGAATAGCTAGGTCTTTACTCACCAGGCCTTGCGGACCCCGAACCGTCTTCTCCCTCCATGACGTTGTGTCTGTGACTCGTATGCAGACCTTTATAAAGGAAAGCATCACGAGAAGAGGGGAGCACGAATGTCGGAGTCATTGTGCATTTGTCACTAAGAGTTGATGAAGTGATCTTGACCGGTCAAGACCGACGGCACTAACGAATGGCCACCATCAACGAAAAAAGAACACCTTGGAGTGCTGAAAGCTGGACGCCGGTTTATCGACAGAACCAGGCCTGAAACAACGACTGTGATAATTAACACCCAGAGCGTTTCCTCAAGGAGAGCGTCAACCTAGGTAACGATAGTCCAAGTTTGTCCAAGATTGGAGCATGCGTCCTGCGCAGGTCTGATCCGTACGCGCGCCACCAACGGCAAAGCAATAGGTGTAAATATTTCGTACGAACACAAAAAAGCAGGGGAGCAGTGGTCACGTCCACTAGCGTTGCCCGCAGTAGGTAAAACACCAATCTCTCGAGGGGGAGCGTAAGCTTTGCATGTCTATTGTTGTTACGCAAACTCTAAATGTGGTAGAGTTCATGTCCGCTATGCACGGCAAGGGTCCGTGAGGAACAAAATGACAACTACTTGTGACCCTTCTCAAAAAGGGGTACTCAACATCAAACTTTCCTGTCCACGTTACCCTCCACAGCGGTTAGACCATTGACCACGCGTCCTCGAGAGGACGGAGCATTGTTCCCACAGGACCGATCACCGATTGTTAATCGTTCCTTTCTACTTTGCCAAAGGTGGCTCAAAAATGTCTTCCCTAGTCTGTCTACCCTAACGATATCACTTCCCGCCTTTTCAACCCACCTCCTATGCACCAGTACAGCTACCGTCCTTTCCTCTCTATTCCATTCCTCGAACATCCCACTGTACGTCCTATCTATTTTTCCCAGCTCAGTCACGCACACTTCCCTCTCCTTCTTGTGCCACGGACATTCCGCGACTACATGACCACGGTCTTCGCATTCGAAGCCACTATCACATTTGAACTCGTTGTCTTCGTCGTCTACCGTCATATGTCTTCGTCGACGTTCTCGAAGGCCTATGTCCCCGGTCCTGAATTTGACCTTAAGCTTTGTTCCTGCATCCATTGGTCCATGTAGGTAGTCCTTGAACCCTATTCCTTCCTTCAACATTCCGTACACTTCTAGACCCTCCTTATCCTTGGATTCTTTCCTCAGATTCTGTTCTTCTCTCTCGGCACAAGCAACAGATATCTTCTCCTTGAACCCCTGTAGACCCTCCGTTTCCAGCGTTTCATCTTCGTCGATGTCGAGCCCCTTCCATACGTCCTCTACAACCTTGACCCATTCCGTGGGTTGTCTACCCCTCTTTTTGTTTGCCCACTTCGCCTCCCATACAATTCTCGGCAACCTCTCCTCTCCCAATCCGCACATGTGATACTGTAATGTCAGCTTCCTCGCGTCTCTTCCCGACCGTAGGGATTGTATCCCCAATTCTGCCCTCACGGCTGCATTACTTGTGCGCCTGGAGCATCCTAGGAT